TTATGTAATAAAAAATGGGATACCCATTTAAAATAAGAAAGTTGCTGTCAACTTCCGGTATTTCCAGAAGTGCTGCCATATTGAAAATATTCTTAATCGATAGATCTCGTTGTGAAAAAATAATGTGCAAAAAATCTCCGATCTAGATATTGTAGTTCTCTAGAAACTTCTAATGCACGCTCAGCCTGGGACACCCTGTATATTAAAATTACAATATATATTAAAAATTACAATAAAAATTGTAATTTATATATAACATGTAATTAATTTTAATTTACCTATTTTGTCACAATAAAAAAAATGTTTATATCAATACCCGATCGAACGTTTATAAAAATAAAACAATTATTGATGTTATTACAAATGTATTTTATATATCGCTAAACTGAAAAAAACGTACAAAACAACTCGAATCTTTCCGGGGATTTGGAAAACGAAAAAAACTGCCATTTTTGTTGTCGCAGTTAGGAACGCTACAGTTCTTCGCAGGTTTGCGTTCTCGGTCAAAAAAGCCTTTGCAATTAAAAATGAATAAATAAAATAAAATGTATTTGGTAAAATAAGTACAAATACATCAGTAATTAATAAAGAAATTGTTAAAATCACACACCGAATATTCACAAAACACAACGAAATAAAAATATTGACATATTTAAAAAACAAATGAATATTTGTAAATTTTTTAATGGCTAGCAGCGCCTCTAGTGTTTGTTCGCACAGTATAGCTTTTACTTCCGGTTATTGCCATTACAGAAAATGTTCTAAAGGGGGGATGTTTTGTAATTAGTAATAATCTTCTATCAAAGAATGAAAACCTTAAAATGATATTACCATAGAAACGCGTTTTAATTTTTGCCACTTAGAAAAATTCAATTATATGTTCATATTTTTTTATTTTTCTCTAAAACGGTATGGAAATGTGGAAAAGTATAAACGTAATTCACTATGTAACAATAAAAAAAGTTTTTCCTGTTGCAAAGACAATCCGGGTCACACTGTATATATACCTCTGTTCCGATGAACAGGTAAATCTTAAACTCGGCCGACATTAATAATAAAAGTTTGCCAAAGGGCGTGTAGCAAAGTTCATCTGGAAGTTTCGTTCCGCGGCTAAGTTCCCGACCGAAATATATTATAGTTTCTGCGGAAACAATACGCTTGCATTATAGGCGATGGTAAATTTTAGAACATAGAGTTACCAAAGGCCCTCGGGCTCCCAGACTACGAGCTAATTTAAGTAGATTGCAACTGGCCCAAATTCAATTTGAATCTCGCTCTTCGGAATAGCGGTGGATTTAAAAGAATATGTATTCGGTTTTCTAAATTTCTTTAAGAAACTCTCTTTGTCAGTAGCCTTAGCCCGCGGCCCCCGAAAGCGATTTTTGTTTTTTGCGTGTGAAGCGCTTTTGTGATTTTACCGTTTGAAGCTTTTATTTCGATTTGTGTCTATTAAAAACACACAAAAGAAACGGCAGGTCTCCAGTTCCTATTAAGCTGTCGATTAGTAACGAAAAAGCTCTTGGAATTCCCGGCTCGTTCAACAATTATTCCTTTGAGAAAGAGATAGGCGAGATCGGCGCGGTTAGCGTTGAAAAGACGAAGATGAAAGATATGTTCGGATCGATCGTTGAACGGGCTCGATATTCGACGATAAATGCAATCTACTGCTAGTGCCAGTGGTGTGTGTAAAAATAATTGTTATTATTTGCCATTTATTTTAGGAATTTTAGTTTATTTGTTTATAAATTTTTTATGTTGTATTATGTGGTTACTTGTGTTTTATAATTATACTAATATAGTATAATAAATAATTAAAAGAACTATTTGTTACACAAAATAGTTATTTTTGTATCTAGTGCGCGAAATGCTATTTTCTCTAATTTATACAGGGTGGTCCGAACTGTATTCCCGAAACTTCGGCAGCATATTCTGCAGATAAAAATAAGTAAAAGAGTACGTATAAATGTATGTCCAAAAATGCTTAGTTTCGGAGATACAGGGTGTAAAAGTTTCATTTTTATTTCGATTTTTTGCAAATAATTTCTGAAGTAACGTCAATATTTGGATGAAAATTGGTGTATGGGAGTGTTTTGACATGAGAAATTTGATTTTGAAGTCAATATAACTCCTATTTGTAGGGGGCGCCACCTACATTTGTTTTAACTGTTTGGAAGAGTAATAACTTTTCGACCGTACCTGTATAAAAGTACTGAGTGAAAAAATATACATTTGCGTAACTTTCTATGTAAAAATATCTCTTGGTAAAAATCGCTATGAGTAACCGTTCTCAAGACATTTAGAATGGAAATAGTCAATATATGTCATTATTGACAAGTTATTTGACGGAAATAATAAATTTGGGAAATTTTATTTTTTAAATTAATCGTAAATTTTTCTGCAAAAAGACGATGAAACAGTTTCTGTGGATCTTTTGGCACAAAAACATTTCAAATTTATGATTTCAGACTAATAACTATTTAGTCAACATGTTTAGTTTATGTCAATGATGATGTTTATCATTTAGATTCCAAATATCTTGAGAACCATTACACGTAACGATTTTTACCAAGAGATCTTTTTTACGTAAAAGATATCGTAAATGTATATTTTTTACTCGGTAATTTTATACAGGTACGGAAGAAAAGTTATTACTGGTCAAACCAGTTAAAAAATTTGTAGGTGACGCCCTCTATGAGTAGGAGTCTTTTTGACATCAAAATGAAATTTCTCATATCAAAAAACTCCCAGACACCAATTTTTATCCAAATATTGACGTTACTTCATAAACTATTTAAAAAAAAAATCGAAATAAAAATGAAACTTCTACACCCTGTATCTCCGAAACTAAGCATTTTAGGACATACATTTCTACGAACTTTTTTACTTATTTTATCTGCAGAATATGCTGCCGAAGTTTCCGTTTTTTATTTATATTTTTTATTTTATGACATAAAAATGACATATGTACAAAAAAAAAGACAGACAAATGGTCAGTCAGTGTCAAAGATAATCAGATAGTCGAATGTCGCTGACGTGTCTTCAATTAAAATGAAGCGAATATACTTATCCACGAAGTTTATATGATCTAATTTAGAACTGTTTAACTTTACCGATACATCTTAGTAAGTGTCATGTGTCATTAATATCGCTTCTCTCATATATACAAACAAAAATGTGATTTTTATTTACAAAATCATGAAGGTAAGAGATTAAAGACGTTGATTGGTCGTTGAAACGTTAGAATTTTCTTTTTATACAGACGTGTTTAAACTATGTTATTTTTTCAACGATATATCTCTTATTTACATATTTACTAGCAAAAATAATGCAAAATGTTACAAAATTAACAAAAATCAAAAATATGCAAACAAAAACAGGCAACACGAACATTGAAATATTTCGTAAAACATTTCGGGGATAGTGTACAGGGTGTGTCAAATTCGACGCTTTTAAATGGAAACACCCTTTTCTATAGGAGATAGACGAAAACTAATATCGGTGTCTGGAGCTCAATTTTCATCAAAAACATGATGGTGACAACCGCACATCAATATCTGTTACCGTTTCGGAGTTACGGGGTGTTTTTCCAAAATATGCATTTTAAACAAATCGCTGTAACTTTTTTGCTATGGAAAATTTTGTATTTTTATGAAAACGTTTCCAAAGCAACTTTTTACGTAGAATTTAATGGTTTAAGTATAATTTTTTTAAAATTAATAATTTAAGAGTTATCAGCAGAAAAATTGATTTTTTATTTGGGACACCCTCTATATTTTTAATTAACTGAAAATAATTTAAAATTACCTTTCCAAAAATATAGCACACTTGATATTTTGTTATAATTCCCTTCGAAATACAGAATTTTTAAAAGTTCGCCACTTTTAACTAGTAAGCTTTGGATCCCTTATTTATGATATGCCCTTAATGGAACTCGAAAACATATTTTTCCAGCAAGACGACGCACCGCCTCTGAACCATGGAGTTATCAGCAATTTTTTTTAGAATAATTCGATAGCTAACCACGATACTAGCTGTTGGCCGTCGAGGCCGCCTGACTTAGTGCCCATGGATCTAATCCTATGGATATATTTGCGGAAGAATAAAGGTTCCTTATTCTTCCGTATAATCTAGACAAGAATTAAAAATTAGGAGTTATGAGAGGGTATCTTTCAGCCCCACTGAGTTAATGAATTCCGCGAGAAATTCCAAACCAAACCAAACCATAACAGAAGACGGTCGATATGTCGAACATCTGTAGCAAAATCTCATGCTTGGTTTGCTATTTATTTTTATTGTTATTAGATATAGTTTAAATGTGTTGATGTTGGTTAAAAATATTTTAAATTGTTATAAAATTCTGCATCTCTCATAGCAAATATTATTTTCGTTTTAATTGATGCTCACAGCTAGAATTTTTGCATTACAGCCGGTGCCGTTCAAAGCCTACGTATTTAAAGCGGGCGAATGCTTTTATACTCTATATCTCGAAGAGGAATCGAGCAAAACATCAAGTGTGTTACATTTTTGGAAAGGTAATTTGAAATGCTTTTCAATAAATTAAAAATATACAGGGTGTCCCATATAAAAAAACAAATTTTCTGCTGATAATTCTTAAATTATTAATTTTAAAAAAATTATACTTAAACCATTAAATTCTACGTAAAAAGTTGCTTTGGAAACGTTTTCATAAAAATACAAAATTTTCCATAGCAAAAAAGTTACAGCGATTTGTTTAAAATGCATATTTTTGAAAAACACCCCGTAACTCCGAAACGGTAACAGATATCGATATGCGGTTTTCACCATCATGTTTTTGACAAAAATTGAGCTCCAGACACCGATATATTTTCGACACCAGTTTTTGTCTATCTCCTATAGAAAAGGGTGTTTCCATTTAAAAGCGTCGAATTTGACCCACCCTGTACAGGCTGTTTTTCACAAAATTTGCAGGCTATTGAGAAAATAGAAAATGAATATTTAATAATTAAAACAACATTATATGTCACTTTTTGAAACATGTCCTTTAAATCCTTTAATCTTACCAACAGCTATTAACTGTTAGTAAGAAGTTTCACTTTTTTTTATTAGTATGCTGTTTTTATTTGTGTTTGCAATATTTCTGCTAGTAAACGTACAGCGTAGCGTTAGGATGGTTAGTCTAGTTATATTTTAGAACAAACATTATCACTTTCACCGATCCAATCTTGGAGGCTATTGGATGGAGCAGGACGAGCTGTGGTCGACGTTGAGCAGCGGGCCGTAATCATTGGCCACGTTGGCGGCGGGAAAATCAATTTCCTCCTCGAAGTCGAAGTAGTGACACTGAAAAATAAATCGCCATTAGTTCTAGCCAAGGATGTGTAGGCGGTTATAGTTTATTTGTTACGCCATTCTACACTCAGAGGCAAAATAACGCAACGGAAACATTTTTGTTCTAGTTTAAAATCGTATATACAGGGTGGCGCAAAATCGTATATACAGGGTTCGCCTCGGTTGATTATACGAAAACGTAAATATGTAGAAGCAAAATATTTTATGGGTATATGTGGGGAGGCAATGTGCACAATTTAAAATTATTTTGAAATATACAGGGTGTTTCAGAACTAAGATCCATACCAAAGATATTTTTTTTCTTATGGAACGTCGTCGTCCTCTAAGTCCGTACGTCGTGTACGACCGACGTGTGGTGGCTCTGGTTCTGGCTCTAAACACCTGATGGCCGCACCCACCGTCCGTCTCCAATTTTCCCTATTTTCTGTCCTTCGAACGGCTTCCTCCAGGTTAGTATTCATAAGTTTTTCGACCATGTCCACCCACCTGGTTGATGATCTGCCTCGGCGACGGGATCCTGCAGGTCTTCCTTGTACTACCAGTCTCTCCATGTGCACGCTCCTGTTGACATGGCCGAAGAAGGAAAGTATACGTTTATAGACAGTGCTGGAAAGTCTTTGTAATAATTGGATTTCGTTAAGGACCGACACATTGGTGCGATGTGCTGTCCATGGTATTCGCAACATCCTCCTCCAGCACCACATCTCGAAGTCGTCAATGCGTCGTCTGTCGGCTGCTAACAATGTCCATGTCTCCGAAGCATAAGGCATAACCGGAAAGACAAGACTATTTACCAGGTTTATTTTTGTCGATTTTGTTATATGACTGTTCGACCAAACTTTGGTGAGCTGCGTCATAGCGTTACGGGCCAGTTGAATTCTACGGTGTATTTCCACTTATGGAACACCCAGTATTTTATTTAATTTTTGGGTTCTTGGGCCCAAAAAAAGGCATATATTATAAGGGTAAAATATGTTTAAAATCTTTGGTTTTTGAGATATTTAAACATATTTAAATATGCATGTTACAATAGAATAGGTTATTAACACCCTGTACATTACTTTTCAGAATTAATTCTTGTGCTGAGTTTATAGGTAAGGAAATAAACTTTTTTGAAAAATGTTATTGCTTCCTTAAAGTTATACAGGGGTACCAAAAATTGCTGATCTATTTTAAGGATTTATTTTATATAAAAACTTCGTTATTTCAAATGCAACACCCTGTATTTTTTTTCTAATAAATCGAAGCAGATTCAAATTCTCTTTCAAACTATATCAGGGTTTCTTATACCTATCTAGCTCAGACTTTGAATAAAAAGCGATTTTTAAGTAAAATCGCAATCAAGATCAGTTAGTAGCTATTTTCAAAATCGACATTAGTTTATGGACATTATTATTTAGATTTATATAAGTTTACTTAAATTTACCTAAATAGTTTGATAAGTAAGTATTTATTATTTTATCAAGAAAAATAAGGCAGTATCTCCTAGCGGAACGAATGGATCTGTTACTAGTGATTTTATTTTGTGAGGAAAATTGCTTCTTGGCCTTAAGGGCTTATACTCAAAGATATTCGAATAGGAAAAACGATAATATTACTAGCCTGTACATTTTGTACATTTGTTGTTTTAAAAAAATCTAAAATGTCAATATTCCATGGGTATATTGATAAATGAGGTCCAAATTGTAAGAAAATGCATTTTCTATGAAAACTTGAAGGGATAGTTAAAAAGTGGTCTAATACAATTTGATAGACAATTAAATTATGCATCTGATTCTTATAAAATATACAGGGTGTTCCATTTAAATTAAACAAGTTATTTCCGTTTAAAGCTAGTACTTATTTAAAATAAATTTTTAGACACTCTGTATAAGGTAGTATAATTTTTATTATTGCAACATAATAACTAATCAATAAATAAACTTCAGTAAATATTTAGTAATAAAAACTTTGATACCCTCGGAGAAATGAAGCCTTAAAATGTATACTGCAATTTCACAAAATTGAAGATATTTCATAAACGGTAAGGTTTAAGTGTAATAAACCTTAATCAAATTTACCTTTATTTTAGTCGTAGAAACTAAAAATTCACTAATATACAGGGTGTTCCATTTAAAAAAATACAACTTTGATATTTTTTATTTATTTGGGACAGTCTGTATCTTGTAAAAATATTTTTAAATTGTAGCTCTAATAGTCCTTCAACGAACCCAAAACTTACAATTTGTAGAAATCTAATCGTTTAGCTACAATACTCCGTGTCGTATGTGGTGAACAACCCTGTATAGAATAGAATAGAGAGATAATGATATGATCGAATATAGTAGGGTTAATAAAAAATATGCAGTAAATGTAATAAAATAAAAAATGTAAATGTGACATGTACCCAACCCTGTTTCAGGAGCGTCGCCCCACGTGGTTATTTGCATCTGGGCTTTCAATCTGACCGCGGAAAGGTTAGGGACAGGTTATTTTGGGACGGACGCGTAGAAAGGAAATTAAATGGTCGACGGGGAAACTACTAGGAGGGACGGAAAAACCTAGATTGCGAAAGATTATGGAGATAAATAGTTGACACAAATGATAGAGCATTAATCTATGACAAGGCTACACTATCGCCCATTCAATTAATTTTATTTTTTATAACAGGTTTTTTATGTTTCGTTTGAACAACATAATACTGATTTAAATGCTTAACAGAGTTAATTATAAGAAATAAACGAGAACGATCTATGACTTTTTGGGCTATTAAAAGCTATAGAAGGACTTTATTTTCTAATTTGTTAATTACAATCATTTCTCTTGTGTTTTCGACAATAGTTGGTCGAGTTTTGTAAACACTGTCTTTAAGATATCCCCATAAAAAATCTCAGACTAGATAAAATCAGGAGCATTTTAGTATATGCCATTCACCAACTATTAGAACCATATCAATTCTCTCTGATGTAGGATAAGCTTCCATTTTCGCCAAATTTCTGAGAATTTTCTTTTATTTTAACTAGCACAAAATGATAACTAGTTGTTAAAGTTGGACTAATTAGACAGCTATGTTGAAGTAACGTCAGACATATCACCAGCCATCTAGATTTTATCAAAAAACAAAGATCTACTGACATTAAATCATAACCAGCTTTATTTTTCTCCCAGAATCCGAAAATCAATTAATATATAGGGTGTTACGTTACAAAAAACACAACTTTGATATGTAACTTATTTTGGGAACACCCTGTAGTACTCTCTATATTTTTAAAAAGTGCTCTGAATTAACCTACATATGCTCACAAAATTTCCTTCCAATACAAACTGTCACCCTGTACAGGGTGGGTCAAATTCGACGCTTTTAAATATATATAATCTAGACAAGAATTAGAAATACTTAGCAGTTATGAGAGGGTATCTTTCACCCCCACTGATTTAATGAATTTCTCGAGAAATGTTCAAAAACGGCCCCGTCTGTCCATAACAGAAGACGGTCATATGTCGATATGTCGAACACCTGTAACAAAATCTCATGTCTTGGTTTGCTATTTACTTTTATTGTTATTAGATATAGTTTAAATGTGTTGATGTTGGTTGAATATATTTTAAATTGTTATAAAATTCTGCATCTCTCATAGCAAATATTATTTTGGTTTTAATTGATGCTCACAGCTAGAATTATTTTGCATTACAGCCGGTGCCGTTCAAAGCCTACTCATTTAAAGGGGGCGAATTTTTATATACTTTATATCTCGAAGAGGAATCGCGCAAAATATCAAGAGTGTTATATTTTTGGAAAGGTAATTTTAAGTCCTTTTCAATAAAATAAAAATATACAGGGTGTCCCATATAAAAAATCAAATTTTCTGTTGATAATTCTTAAATTATTAATTTTAAAAAAATTATACTTAAACCCTTAAATTGTACGTAAAAAAGTGCTTTAGAAATGTTTTCATAAAAATACAAAATTTTCCATAGCAAAAAAGTTACAGCGACTTGTTAAAAATGCATATTTTTGAAAAACACCCCGTAACTCCGAAACGGTAACAGATATCGATATGCGGTTTTCACCATCATGTTTTTGACAAAAATTGAGCTCCAGACACCGATATTAGTTTTTGTCTATCTTCTATAGAAAAGAGTGTTTCCATTTAAAAGCGTCGAATTTGACCCACCCTGTACAGTAGTAAATTTTAAATCTAAGATAAAACAAGTCCTTTTTTGTATAGTATTCTGGGGATTATTCTGAATATTAATAATTCATTTCAGGATTAAATTTAAGCTGAATCTCGCTGCCAATTCCAAATAGGGACCTTTTAGCGCGCATAAAATATTCAGGATTTAGATCAGCATAATTATTCCGCCCAAAATAACAACTGGAAAATAGCAAGCAACAACCAACGAAAAGTAAAAATGCATTCCTATAAAAGAATGCAATAGAAATAGGAGTTCGTAAAGGCACAGTTCGCGAACTATGCTCCAATGTCTCATTATTTTTAATTGGTTTGCATTCGAGACATTTAAAATAGACTCTAAAAATTAAATGGCGCTTTGTTTAATAGGGAAATAAACTTCAGTTTGTTTTATGAAGAGATAAAATAAAAACGTGGCGCTTTTTAAGGCGAATAAAAAATGGGACCACTTGCATTGTTTTGTGTCGCCATATTTTGTTTTTATTTTAATAAAATTGTTATAAATAATAAAATAATACTGCTTTAAACTGTAGCTAGGGATGAAAACAGCAAAAGTAAAGTCTACTCTGTTCTGGTTTTTTCTCAGATAAGATTTCGACAGACGATGACAGAAGAAAAGCAGATGACGTCCCATACCAATCTATTTATTTTACTAAAAAAAGTTTCTAATAATTTTTAAGTTAACTGTGGATGGGTTTAAATATAAATTCGTCATGCGTCGTCACTTGTTGTTTTTAACCAGTTTTATTGGTTTATTTCAAAAATGACAGATCGTATTTCAATTTTATTGGTTTGACGGAACGATGAACGACAAACGAA